CCCCCGACGGACGGAGGACAGACAGACTCAGACTCAGCAACAAGACTAGTGGCGTAGTCTAGACGACAGGTAGCAGCAAAGTCAACAAGCTCAGTGACTAAGGCAGACGCAGCAGTAGACTCAAACGACGGGTCAGTGACAACTGTGGCTAGCAGACGCGTGACAGTAGGGTGAGCAGCACGAGCGCGGTCAGAGTCAGGCTCTGGAACGTCAGGCAGAGAAGACGCAGGAGGAGACGGCAGAGGAACACGCTGCAGAGGAGAGGAAGGACGTCGGACTACGAGGTGGGTGCCGGGGACAGCCGGCTGACGCGGACGAGGAACACGACGACCGGAACTACCAGAACGGACAGGCGAGACAGGACGCGACGCAGGCTCACGACGCTCAGTAAGACCCCCAGTCTGCTCAGTGTAAGGAGAAGGAGCAGGCAGCGGTGAGCCAGGCTGTAACGGAAGACCAGTAGCGAAGGGAGACTAAGAACCTGGCGAAGCACAGAGTCAGGCGGTGACTGAGACGGTGGAGCGAAGAAGGGGGCGGCTGTGCAATGCCACCAGCACCAGCAGCTCCAGAACCCCCAGCAGCTCCAGCACCTCTAGCAGCTCCATAACCCTCAGCGCCAGCTCCTCCACGACCAGCTCCACCAGCAGCAGCACCCCCATAACCGGCACCTTCAGTCCCAGGGTCTCCAGCCTCAGTGTCTCCAGCAGTAGCACTCCCAGACCCAGGGTCTCCAGCAGTAGCACCCTCAGGCTCAGCACCTCCAGCCCCAGCAGCTCCAATACCTCCAGTACGAGCACCTCCGGGACCAGCACCACCCCCAGCTCCAGTGACGTCAGCAGAAGTACCTCCAGCGGCAGAGCCCCGAGCTCCAGAAGCGCGACCCTGACGGCGACCGTACCAGTCGTGCAGCTGCTGTGAGGAAAGAGGCACACGCGGACGAAGGCGGCTACTCCAAGGAGACCGCGCAACAGCATACTCAGAACCCTCAGGCGTCGCACCTCCAGCGCCAGCACCCGCAGCAGCTCCAAAACCTCCAGCTCCAGTGCCACCAGCGCCAGCACCTCCAACAGCGCCAGCACCCGCAGCAGCTCCAGAACCTCCAGCTCCAGCGTCACCTGCAGTAGCACCCCCAGAACCGGCACCCCCAACTCCAGGGCCTCCAACCTCAGAGTCAACAGCAGCACCTCGAGGTCCAGCAGGACCTCCAGGCCCAGCAGCTCCAGTAGAAACAACTCCAGTAGCAGAGTCACCAGCTCCAGCGCCTCCCGCAGCAGGGCCCCTAGCTCCAGCAGCGCGACTCTGACGGCCAACGTACCACTCACGCAGCTGCTATGGGGAGAGAGGGAGACGACGACGAGAGTGCAGCGGCGAGGCACCAACAGAGCGACTACGGAGACGGCCGCTCCAGGGAGACTGCTCACCAGACGCCGCAGCGCCCCCAGGTGCAGCACCCCCAGACTCAGCACCCCCAGGCTCAGCACCCCCAGACTCCTCACGCCCAGGCTCAGCACCTCCAGGCTCCGCACCCCCAGGACCAGCACCCCCAGGCTCCGCACCCCCAGGCTCAGCACCCCCAGAAGCAGCACCCCGAGCAGGACCTGAATCACCAGTGACCTCAACCGGCGCAGTCAAGGGAGGAGGGTCTACCTAAGACACACCTGAAGGAGCAGGACCGAGAGCGGGGAGGGGGGCTACCTGGGGAGCACCTGGTGCGAGGAAGAGCGGCGGGGGGGGGGGGGGGAGAGGGGCAGTGCGGTAGGGGAAGAGACGGTAAAAGGGAACCGACTCGTCGAACGTGACGTCCTGAGAGGGGAAGACATGGCGCGAGGTGGGGTGGTAAAACTGCCAACCAGGCGCGTCAGGGACAAAGCCAAGGAAGACATAGGGAACACTGCGGGCGGAGAGCTTGTCCGCGGTGGTATCACGGACAAAGGCACGAGAACCCCAGACCCGAAACACCGACGCATCGCCAACCTTCCCCGTCCACCTCAGTGTGGGCGAGGTCTCCGGTAAGGAGACACGGGGCCAGAGGTTGAGCTGATGCGTGGCGTAGCGGACCGCAAACGGCCACAGAAAATGGGGTGCAGCCGAATGGACCATGGAGGTACGAGCGACCTCCATGACCAAGGCAATGCGGCGCTCAGCAACCCTATTCTGCTGCGGAGAGGCCGGAAGCGTGAATGTCTGGCGAATGCCCTCCCCACGACAAAAGCTCTGCAGGAGGTCGGAGGAAAACTCCCCACCTCTGTCAGAGTGTAGACGCAGGACGGGAAAGTCCGTCCCGAACCGCTCGCGGAGCTGGAGACGGGCAGCGCGGATCCAAGGGATCAAAACATCAGGGACCTCACCCTTGGTGCGCTAGGGGAAGACCGTGGTGTAACGCGAGTAGTCGTCAACAACCAGCAGGAAGTACCGCTCGCGGTCCTTCCCACTGACGCGGGCTGGGCCCCACACGTCCATGTGCAGGGTCTGCAGGGGAGCAGTCGTCGGGGGAAACGAGGAGGAGTGAGGAGCGGCGCGCTGCCACCCCTCGAGGCAAGGAAGACAGGGAGGAGCAGGCGAGGGAGGGAGGGGAGGGAGAACCCGGGGAAGACCAGAGACAAGGACACGGCGGTGCATGCTACGAAGGCGCTGCACCGAGGGGTGACCAAGACGGTGGTGCCAAAGGAGGGTCTGGTGCGACAAAGCGCGACACGAGCAGGGGGCCGCTAGCTGACCTGACGCAGACGCATACGCAGCAACCTGAGGGGACACAGTAGTCAGCGTGTACAGACTCGAGCCAGGTGCACGGGTAAACGTGGCCAGGTGCGAGCCCGTCCGGGAGCACGTACAGTGGGTCACGCGCTGACCTCCAGGGGTGAACTGGTCAACCCACTGGTCCTGGAGGTCAGCACCACTCACCAAGTTCGTAGAGAACGAGGGGAGGTGAAGACCTGACAGGGAGCTAGACGGGACCACTGGACACGGCAAGACCGTGGAGGAGTGCGCAAGGACGCGACCCCCAGAGGGGTCTGCCAGGGAGACTGAGCGGCGTGAGGGTGGTGCTGTCGCGAAAGAAGGAGCAGGAAGCACCTGAGTCAAGTGTGAAGGTGTACAAGGCCTCAGTAGGCGTAGTACCAGAGAGAGCAGACCCACCAGTACCTGGAGCAGCAGCCTCACCAGCACCTAGAGCAGGAGACGCACTAGCACCTAGAGCAGCAGCCTCACCAGTACCTAGAGCAGCAGGCTCTATACCTAGGTCAGGCGGTACGCACAGATAACAGGCACCGTCAGCACTACTACGCAATGCATACATGGCAGTGAGAATTGCATCATAGTCAAGAGCAAAGATATCTACCCTCTGCCTAAGCTACTCCAGCCAGGTGGGGAGCTCAGCCTCGTCGCCAAACTCGGTACGCCAGGCGTCGCTCAGACGGGCGAAGCAGCGGGACTGTGTGTGACCAAGCGTCCCGCAAGCCTGACCAGCCCGATCACCTGTGCGAATGACGTACGGGCAGCGAATGGTACTCCGAGACCCTCTACTCTGAGCGTACCACTCGTGAAGCTGGTGGGACGTAAGTGTCTCGCGTGGACGCCGCTGCAGCTGCAGCTGGCCACTGCCAGACGCTCCCAACTGACCAGCTCCAGGGCGACAGCTACGACGGTTACTGCCACAACCCCAACTAGCGTACCACTCACGAAGCTGCTGGGGCGTGAGAGACTCGCGTGGACGTCGCTGGAGCTGCATCTGGCCACCGCCAGTAGCAGCAGTAGCAGAAGTAGCAGCAGTAGCAGCAGCAGCATCCTAGCAGCAGTAACAGGAGTAGCAGTAGTAGCAGCAGTAGCAGCACGGGCAGGGCAGGTGCGGCAGGCAGGCAGGCAGATGGCGCGGCAGCGCGCGAACAAGGTAGGTGCTCACCAGTGGCGGGAAGGGCAGGCGCTCGCCTGGCGAGCAGGGCCGGCGCTCGGCGGGCGGCGGCCGGGTAGGCGCACGACGGCGGCGACGGCGGGGCCGCGACAGCTGCGGCAGAACAGAGCCGCGTCGGCAGTAGAGCAGGTCCGCGACAGGTGCTGCAGGGCGGGGCCGTGACCGCTGCAGAGCGGGGCCGCGAGGACTGCTGCAGGGCGGGGCCGCGAGAGCAGCAGGAGGCTCCGTGGCAGCTTCTGCAGGGCGGGGCCGCGACCGTGGCAGGGCGCTCCGCGGCAGCTGCTGCAGGAGCGACGGCGGCAATCAGGCAGGGGCGGCGTCCAGGGGGGGGGGGGGGCGTCGCGTCGAACAGGGGCAGCCGAGGCGCGCGGGGCTGCAGCGGGCTACGCGAGCTGCGGGCGCGGCGCGTGAAGCCGCAGCGGGCCGCGCGAGGACGGCAGCCGCGGCGCGCGGGGCTGCAGCGTGACGCGCGGGCAGCGGACGCGACGCGCGGGGCTGCAGCAAGCAGCGCGGGCTGCGGACGCGGCGCGCGAAGCAGCAGCGAGCCGCGCGCGGGCTGCCGAGGCGCGACTCGGATAGCTTGGGCGACGCGCGGGGCAAAAACCGGGCCGCGCGCAGGAATCAGGTCTGCGCGCTCTAAGCAGCAGCAGACTGCGCAGTCAGCAGACAGCAGGCAGCAGGCAGACGGCGCGCGCAGCGCAGCACGTCACAGGCACAGTCACAGTCACAGTCGTGGGGTAGCAGTAGGTGGGCCCTAAAAAAAACGGTCCTACGGACCTACTGCTCTGAAACCATGTTAGAATCTAGAGAAAGGAATGAATCAACTATGAAAGAGTTGGGTACAAGTATGAAATCCTAAAATGGGCTGTACCCCATATTGGCTACCCCACTACAGCCTACACATATATAACATGCATATACTTTGACAACTACCGCTTCAGAGATATGAGAAAATATAGAATAAACAATATACACTACACTCTGAGAGCAAGAAGCTCAACCAGTCTATTTGTACCATTCAGTGAACTTTTTCCAGAATATAAGAACAAAAACCCCTACACCAAAGAGCATGACCGGTGAGGATGGGGCGTTGTTATGCGTTGCAAGCAGGCTGGCAAAGTGGGGGTTGTGGGAGACGAGAAGGAGAAGCAGACCAAGGGAAAAGAGCAGACCCCCTGCTGCCACCAGGGAGCGACTCAAGAAAGGCTCCTGGTGGAAGAAGATGGTAGAGGGATGATGAAAGAGAGAGAATGGGGGAGGCCTGGAGGGGAATGAGAAGCAGGCCAAGGGAGAAAAGGAGACCCCCTGCTGCCACCAGGGAGCGACTCAAGAAAGGCTCCTGGTGGGAAGGACGATGGAAGAGGTGGGGTGAGGGGGGGAGAAAGGGGGAGTTTGCAAGCAGGGTGGCGAAGTGGGGGTTGTGGGAGACAAGGAGGAGCAGCAGAGCAAGGGCGAAGAGAAGAACCCCTGCTGCCACCAGGGAGCGACTTAAGAAAGGCTCCTGATATGGGACATTGGGAGAGGTGGAGAGAAGGGCGGAGGTTGCAAGCAGGGTGGCAAGGTGGGGTTGTGGGGGATGATGAGGAGCAGCAGACCAAGGGCGAAGAGAAGACCCCCTGCTGCCACCAGGGAGCGACTCAAGAAATGCTCCTGATGGGAAGGAAGTGGGGGAAGTGGGGGAATATGCGAATGGGGAAGATAGGAGATGGGGAAAGAGGGAGAAGGGGAGAGGGGAAGGCCGGGAGAGGGTGAGAGGGAAACAGGCTGGGAGTGGCTGACAGAGGGACGGGGATGAGAAGAAGGCGAAGGGAGAAGAGGAGAACCCCTGCTGCTACCAGGAAACAAACATAAAAAGGCTCCTGGTGGAAAGGATGGGGGGAGGGGGAAAGTGGGGGAGAGGCGGAAAGTTAGAGAGCGAGTGGGTGAAGATTGGGAGACAGAATGGGAGCAGACTGAGGGAGGAGAAGAGACTCAACAAGGTCTGGTGGGAGGACAGATGGGAGAGGGGAGAGAGGAGGAGAGAGGGAGAGTGGGGAGGTGGAAAGAGTATGTGAAGCGGAATGAGGCGAAAGAGGAAACTGCTTCTACGTGGGAACTACTAAAGAAAGGCTTCTGATGGGAGAGAACATTGGAGAGGGGAAGAGGTTGCGAGCGGAGGGGAGAGAGAAAGGTGGTGGAGGACGGGTAGAGGGGAGAGAGGGGGAGGCGGCCACAACCCGCTGCCCTCACGTGCACACTTGGGGTTTCCTATCGAGCAGAATTTGGCTGCCTGGCTGGCTTGCCCCAGTAGTAGGTCATCAACAACAATCGAGCAAAATTTGGCTCCCATCCGCGGCTGCCTGGCTTGCCCCATGCCCAGCACTCCACAGCACTCCTAAGCACCACCCTCCAGGAACCCCCAGCACCCCCCCCAACCCCCCTGTCCTCACAAGGCCACCTGCGGTCGAGCGTGATTCGACTGCCAGGCTTGCTGGTACACACGATGTCAACGACAGCCCGTTCAGCGGATTCGCCACCAGCTCCAACCCCTGGCTCCTCAGCACTCCCCAGAAACCCTTAGCGCCCCACACCCGCCTGCCTACAAAAGTTGCCAGCAACAATCCATTATGAAGTTTCTCCATCATCTCCCCCCCGCAGCCCTTCTCATCTTCGTCCTACTCCCCCCAACACCCTGCACCCCACACCCCAAAGCGCCCCCCTACCCCACCCCCCCCATCCCCCTGCACACCCGCCCATCCCGCAGCAAACTCCCCACCCACCTGCCCTCGCAATCGCCCACCCCGGTTCCCCATCGGGCGTGATTCGTCAGCGACAGACCGTTTTGCCAGTTCACTACCACCTCCAACCAGCGCCCCAAACACCCCGCAGCAACCCCCAGAAACCCTTGGCAACCCGCATTATCCCCCTGCTCTCACAAGTCGTCAGCGACAGTCCGTTTTGCGGATTCACCACCAGAGCTCCACCCCGCCCGCACATGCCCTCGCCTTTTAATCGCCGCCACGTCAAGGCGGTCCGCGTGCCACCCCAGCAGCTGCGCCGCGAACGAGCACGCCGGCCCCTTGCCCTTGCCGCTCTTGCCCCGCCCGCGAATGTACAGATCCACGTGGACCTCTCTCATTGGCACGCTCGTGCTCGTAGCTGCCACGTTGCCGTTTTCGATTGGCTCGTAAGCGCTAGTCGCAGCAGCGGCGGATCTCTTAACGAGCGGAGAGGCGGAAGCGGAGGCGGAAGATCTGCTGCTGCCAAGCAGCGGCTCGGCGGCGGAGGCGTGGAGGTCGCGCAGAGACTCGGCGGAAATATCGCCATCGGTACGAGGCGAGGCGGCGGAAACGCTAGCTCCGTTGCTTCGATCGTCGCCGCTCGAGTGAATGGCGGAATGCATCGCGTCCATCCGTTCAGCCATCCGGCCTTGACTACTCAGATCGCACGTGATGGCTGAAAGAGGGGACGGGCGGGTAAAATTGCGAGGCGGGATGGGAAGCGAAGCGAAGGTCCCCAGGCACACAGGCGCACAGGAGAGTGCGTCGCGAGGCACGTAGGGCAGTTTAGCATAAACGGTGATAGGGTGTTATGGCAAAAGCGGTTAGTGAGGTTTCTACTAGCGAGGATGGTACGTTTTGTGCGGACCAGGCAGACCGTTGCGCATGCGAGTGGGGAGCGCGTGCCCGGTACAACGACACTTCAATCTTGCGCATCACCATATTGAACCGTGATACAGAGGAGTAGACCGTAAACAATGTACATAAAACGAACATGCGGTCACTTCATCGCAACTGTCGTGAACATTGTCAAAAACGTGCAAGCCGAGTCAGAGCGAGGGGGGCTCCGAGCAAGAACTCACGCCGATGCCGGGGATCGAACTCGGATCGTCCGCGTGACAGTCGGAGATACTGACCATTATACTACATCGACATATTTTGTATAACATACCAGACGCAAAACCAACAAACATCCTTTTGCGGCAGCTAAGAAACTTAGCACAATTTTGTGACGTCAGAAGCAACGCTCAGACGAGATGGAGGGAGGTCGTAACGTCGTGGACGCGGCTGGTCGAGGCGAGCCAATGGACGAGCATGTCGTGAATGAAGCGCCGTACGATGCACAGGTCCTGCCGTCGTTGACCCGTCCGCCTGTGCGACCCGCGACCGTGAATCTCTCGATGGATGACTTTCTCTGTCCTATCTGCCGCGATTTGATCTTCAAACCCGCTGTCAACGGTGCGTTTTCGCCTGCAGCAACGATTCCGCGCTTCTCTCCTTTCATTGCGCGCGTCAAGCTTAACCGCCAGTTTAAACGCTAATGTCGGCTTCGGCACCCAGGAGAGATTCGATTCGGACCTCGTCGGGCGTGACCGGAGGCATCGGCTGACCTCTCCCCCTCCCGCTCTGAATCAGGTCTACGGCTCCCCTCTTCCCCCTCCCCTCCCTCCTCACCCATCTCAGCGTGCGGCCACGTGTTCTGCTTCTGGTGCGTGCATCGCGCCATGACGCCCTACAGCGAGAGCCGCTGCCCCATGTGCCGCCGCGCCTTCGCGCACTTTCCTGGAGTGTGCTGGCTGCTGCACCGCTTCCTCTCCTCCGCCTTCCCCGCGGAGCTCCGCGCGCGCGCCAGGGACGTCGCGGAGGAGGAGCGCGCCATGGGCACCTTCTCGCCCTCCGCGCCCCCTGCGCCCTACGCGCCATCCGCTCCCCCCCCGCCCCCTTTGCTTGAGGCAGAGGCGGAGGAACGAGGGGAGGGCAGGAGAGACGTGGTGCAGGAGGAAAATGGGGAGGGGCGAGCGGGGGAGGGCAGGAGAGAGAGGTTGAGTGCGACGGAGGGGGTGTTTCTGGCGTACTGGCAGCAGCAGTTCTCATGTGGGGTGTGCCGCCTGCTGCTGCTGCACCCCGTCGTGCTCAACTGCGGTCATGGTGGGTTCAGTGCGGTGACAGAGGGTTCAGTGCGTTGACAGAGGGTTCAGTGCAGTGAAATGTGAGAGGTTACTGAAATACCCATTTTCCTCCGTTCGCCATTTCCCTTCTCATGTCCTCCGTCCCACCCGTCATTCACACACCCTCCACTCACTCACCCTCCACTCACTCACCCTCCACTCACTCACCCTCCACTCACACACCCTCCAGCCACACACCCTCCAGCCACACTCTCTGGGTTTCCCGCCTCACGAGTCACACGAGTCACACGAGCGAGTCACCCGAGTCACCCGAGTCACATGAGTCACCCCATCCACCAGCACGCGCTCTCTCGCCCTTTTGAGAAATTTCGATAGTTTCGCACCCTCCCCCTCCCCCCTCCCTCCCCCTTCCCTTCCAGCCGTCCGCTCTGTCGGTTCGGTACGTCTTCCCGCTCCGCCACATCCTCCAGCGTGTTCGAGAATTCTTGATAATTACTAATCGTTGCCTCCTCCTCCCGCCTGTTCCCCTAATTCTTCGCCCCCCAACCCCTCCCCCCTTGCAGTCGTGTGCGCTGCCTGCACATCTACCCACCTCACCACTTCAGCAAGCACGCCCTCTCTCGCCCACCCCTCCTCCCCCCCGCTCTCCCTCCGCCACTCCTCCCCCTCCTTACCTCATCTCAGCCCGCCCCATACCCTCCCTCCGCACACTCTCCCGCCCCACTCCCTCCTTGTTGCTGCTGCTTCTCCTCCTGCTGCCGCTACTGCTGCTGTTACTGGTGTTGCTGATGCTGCTGCAAATGGTGGTGATGGTGGTGGTGGTGATACAACTGGTGCTGGTGCCACTGGTGCTGCTGCTGCTGCCGCCGCCACTACTGCTGCGGGTGTGGCAGGGAGGGACGGCAGGCGGTGTGTGCAGTGTGGAGCGGTGCAGCCAACGAGGCGAGTGGAGGCATGTGTGCCGCTGCATGCCGCCCTCTCCGCCCTCTTCCCTGCCGCCCTGCAGAGGCGCGAGCAGGAGAGGTGCAGATGTGAACGGACGGCTGAGATTACTTGGATGAGAGAGGAAGATCAGGTTGATGGTGAGATGGTGCAAATGAGGGGTGAAGGTGAGAGGGGTGAGGGCGGGAGGGGTGAGATTGTGGGTGCTGGCCGCATGGGAAGCGGTGAGTGTTCAATGCAAGGCAGGGAAGGAGAGGAGGCAGGAAGAGGAACAAGAGAAATGGGAGAGGAGGGAGGAGGTGAAAGGAGAGAGAGCAGGGAGAGGAGAGGGAGGCTGCTAGCAGCTGGTTCCGGTGCAGAAGAGGGTGTGAGAGAGGAGGGCGTGAGGGAATGGGACAGAAGTGAGCGAACTGGTAGGGAAGGGGGGGAGGCAGGGAGTGACGAGAACAGAGGAGGAGAGGAGGGGAGGGAAGGGAGGGGGAGAGGGAGCATCCAGTCAGACACGGAGGGAGGGAGAGGAGAGGAGGAGGAGAGCAGGGTGGGCGATGTGACTGCGGTGAGAACAAGAGAGGAGAGCAGAGAAGAGGCAGCTTTGGCAGAGGGGCAGCAGCAGATGAGCGAGGGAGAGAGCACGGCGGTGCGGGCGGCGTGGGAGCGCGTGCATGCGGTGGTGCGGCGGCTTGACCTGGCGCGCCTTGAGGGGAGCAGCGAGGGGCAGAGCGAGGCGGAGCAGGAGGCACTGATGAGGGAGCTGGAGGAGACGAGGCGAGCCAACTTTATCCACATCAGCGTCGGTTGTGATGGATGCGGGGTGAGTTGACTTGCGTTGACCTGAGTTGACTTGAGCTGGCTTAAGTTGACCAACCCCTTTTCTGTTTATCCCTCCTTTTTCCTTCCCACTTGGTTTCCTCTCTCCTCCCTCTCCCTCCTCTTTCCCCTGATTCTCCCCTCTTTCCTCTCAACCTTCCTCAGGCCTTCCCCATAGTGGGGGCGCGCTACAGGTGCCTTGACTGCCCGGAGCGAGTGGGCTTTGATCTCTGTGCCGCCTGCTACAGCTGCCCGCCCCCGGTGGTGGGGCGCTTCAACCAGCGCCACGTCAGCACGCACCGCATGGTGGAGGTGCGGCAGAGAGACGGCGTGATGCATCGGATATTCGAATCGGTGAGCCCCAAGAATCCTTTGAGCTCGTTTTGGTCAGAACCTTCTTTTGAGGCGCCTCAAAAGTTTGACGAGGTGCACGTTTGAATCGGTGAGGCTTGAACCAGGTGAGCTACGGTGTGTGCGCTTCTTCCTCTCATAAACAATTCTCGCCTGTTGTTCCTGTCGGTGCTGCTTCTTCTGCGTGTTGTTTCACCTCATTGGGCCACCCATTTCAGCAGCATGGGCGTCCGTCTCATGTGTATCCACACACACATGGCCTGGTGGCAGTGATAAAAGGCGAGCAAGTGAGGAGAGAAGACCTTGTTTTCCCTTTTCACCCAGAGCTTCTTCTTGTTACATCTGGCCTCCATTGCACCCACACCTGTTTCTCCTCTCCTGGGCTCTCCTCCTGCTCAGGTGCATCCGAAGCTCATGGCTCGGCTCATGGCATTCATAGAGGAGGAGGAGGAGGAGGAGGAGGAGGAGGAGGAGGAGGAGGAGGAGGAGGAGGAGGAGGAGGAGGAGGAGGAGGAGGAGGAGGAGGAGGCGCGGAGGGAGGAGAGAGTACAAGTCTCTCCCTTTCACCCGATACAGTCTCATTAATAAGTGCCCTCCGCCTGCTTCTCAGGTGCATCCGGAGCTCATGGCTCGGCTCATGGCATTGATAACGGCGACTAGAAGAGGAGCATAGGGATGAGGAGGAGAGGAGCACAGGGGACGAGGTGAAGACGTCCATGTCGTTTTATTCACCCAATGCTGTCTCTCTTAACATGTGCCTTCCGGTGCACCCAAACCTCTTTCAGATGCATCCAGAGCTGATGGCTCGACTCATGGCATCCATAGAAGAGGAGGCGCGGAGGGAGGAGAGAGTACAAGTCTCTCCCTTTCACCCAATGCTGTCTCTCTCAGGTGCATCCGGAGCTTATGGCTCGGCTCATGGCATCCATAGAGGAGGAGGAGGCGGACCAGGTGGGGGAGAGGGGGATAGAGATGGAAGGAGAAGAGGCGGATGGGAGAGAAGATTTGAGTGGAGAATGGGAGGAGGCGAGTGGGGACGGAGATGATGGTGAGGATGGTGGTGATGGTGGTGAATCTATTCCGTGAAAGTGGAGGAAAGCAGTGAAGATTATACGGTAGCAAATACCAGTAGGAACAACTGGACTGGAGTCCAAGACTGTTGTGTGACTTGTTGAAGTCTGGTAAGCCTCGTTCAGGTGAAGTGAATGCTAATTCGCAAGCTAGTGATCAACAATGAGACATGAATAGCATCATATACAGTACAAAAGTAAAAGAATGCAGTTCTCACTGTTATGGTTTCCAATATCACAGTTGAGCGTGAATGGTGAGGTATTTGTCATCTCTATTTTGGTGTAGAGCTCCGTTGCGTAACATGTTAAATCTGGTATGAAATGTACTGTAAGCGCATAAGGCGGGTGTCGTGACCCTCAGAATCGTGCAACCCGCGGTTCGTGCGAGGCTCAGCGCCATTGTGGCCAGGTACTTTTTCATGCTTCGAAAGAGTTTTTTAGGGTACATGGGACAAACCTCCTCGGGTGGTTTCGTCCGAACGAAGGGCGCCGTTAGGGAGAGTTTCCAGGCAACAATCGGAACCAAGTACCAGGTACATAAATTACTGTTCGGATGAGGAGGAGTTCTACTCACTCCAGAAGCCACCCCTCTCATTATTGCACCCTAACACATCCCCCTCCGCGCCTTGCCTTTCGCCCCACACTGGCTCTAATGAGTTTCTCTAATTACTTTCACGGTTACCTTACTGGTTATAGGCAAAGCGGCTACGAGGGAAGATGCTCCACCAAAATGCGAGAACGAATATTCCATTTCGTGCCTCACAGATGCGGCCACGTCAGCAACTAACCGGGCCACAAGATTCGGGTGAAGATCCGCCGAGAAATTCGTCCGTCCGTTGGATGCATCGATCTGCGCGTGTGAACAAACGTGAGCATCTTTTCTGAATCAGGAATCTTTCCCAATTCAGATCCCGAAAAAAAAACCCCACTTACTCAACCCAGTTGGCATATTCAATGGTGTTCGTCTCCACAAATCATCGTGTTGCACTGTGGAACCAAGCAGGGCAAAACAGAAGTGCCCCACAGCAAACGCACAAATGCAACGACAGAAATAACATGTTTCGGCTGCATTCCAAGCTCCCGCCCCTGCACTCTTCACACTGAACTGCTGCCACCACTGCCAGTATCACCAGCTTTAACGCTGAAACCTGTCCAGGTGCAGAAAGTAACTTTGTTAGGAAGCAGAAAGCCTCTCTGGAATGGAAATCGACTTCTCGGAAATAGCGTCACCCAGGCAAATCATGGAAATTGCGCTGGGGTTTTAGCTGCCAGATTTACGATTTTGGTGGCGAGAGTCACAAGAGATGCTAGAAAATTACTACTAAAGGCATAGTTTTTGTGGTTCACAATGGACGCAGCATGTGAATTTCGTACTAAACGAGCCGTCGAAACAAGTGGGGCTGAGAAAATGCTACGTTTAGAAAAGATTCTGGAGGAGCGGAAGAAAGTTGAAGCATTTAGTAGAGAGCTGCCACTAGCATTGGCTTTGTTAAACGAAGGTAAATATCTCTCTCTATCTCTCTCTCTCTCTCTCTCTCTCTCTCTCTCTCTCTCTCTCTCTCTCTCTCTCTCTCTCTCTCTCTCTCTCTCTCTCTCTCTCTCTATTTTCTGTGTGTTTCTCGGTGTGTGTGTCTATGTGTGTTTCTGAGCTGTGTGTGTGTGTGTGTGTGTGTGTGTGTGTGTGTGTGTGTGTGTGTGTGTGTGTGTGTGTGTGTGTGTGCTGCATGCCGTTTTGCATCTTTGCCTCTTGAACCCTGAACAACATCCGCATCAACCCTCCGAATTCCACTTCACAACATCAGAAGGGAGCATCACATACCCCAATACGCATAACTTGCGGTTCACCATCCTGCACCCCACGCCGGCAGCCATATCCGAAGCACGGAGGAGCATCAGCCAGAGCAGCAGTCCCACAGGCACAGCGGCCCGAGGCAGCACGGATCCAAAACGTGCTGCTTCTGCAGGTAGAGGCGATTCATGCAAGCAAATCCCATGCCAAGGCAGGCTGAGTTTGCCCGTGGGTGGAGGTTTTGGGGAAGTTGAGAGCACTTGCGAGGAAGGGGTGGGAAGGAGGGTGGGGACAGAGGCGGTGGATGCGGAAGGAGAGGAAAATAGAGACCGTGAGGCTGAGAGGAAAAGGGTGAGAGAGGGAGAAGAGGAGGTTGGAGAAGAAGAGAACGGAGATGGATATGGGGAGGAATTTGGAGGCCTTTTTGCAGCAAGGCAGAGAGACAGAAACACTATGACTGCGTATGGGGATTGCGTGGGAGGAAGTAGGGAAACTGATAGGATCGAGGAAGACGAAGGGAGCGAAAATGATAATGGGAGTGAGGGGAATGGAGTGGGTGGCCAAGTGGGTAGTGGGGGGGTAGTAGGAAGGCGAAGGAGACGGGCAGTGAGTGATGTTGAGGGCAGTGGGAGAAAGCGACACAAGCAGGATGAGGCAGGAGGCGGAGAGCATGCACGAGGCGGAGAGCATGCACGAGGCAGAGAGCAGGAATGTGGGCCATTAGACCTGGCAGCTTCGCCGGTGTTGAAATACAGTGCGAGAGAGGGGCGTGGGGAAAACGATGGCAGGGGGGTTCAGCGAGACTGGCTAGTGGAGCGGCGAGACCAAGAAGACGCTGGTGGGTCGAGCAGGCATGAGGGGAACACGCATTTGGGATTGGCGGATGAAGAGGGTAAAATGCGAGCAAGCGAGGAAGACCGGAGCCTCTTGCTCACTGCAGCAGGACTCTCTCTTTGCCTTGGGGATTCCACCGGAAAGCGCTTTGGTGGTGGCGGTGATGGTGTTGGCGCTGCGGATGTTTCCACAGCAATACGTGTCGGCATAAGCGCGGGAGGAGAAACTATGGGGTGTGGTCGTGATGGTATAGGCGATGCTGCTGCCATGGGTACTGCTGGTTGTGCCGTTGCTGCTTCTGATGCTACTACCTTTCATGCAAAGGCTGTGAGCGGCATAACTGAGAAAGGAGGAGAGGTGGCAGCAAAGAGCAGGATGGGCGTGTCAGGAGGAAGCACATGCGGTGTGGGGGAAGTTCAGCTTGACGTGGGAAGGATTTGGAGCAGAGGAGCAAGGGAAGGACAGGGGGAAGGGCACAATGAAGGGGCGGCTTTGCTGGATGGCAGTAGAGGAGTAAAGGAGAGTGGACGGGTGGAGCAACAAGGGGACGATGCTCCCTGTGCTGGTGGAGATGCGGCTGCAGCCGCTGGCTTTTCCGGTGCTGGTGCTGGCGCGTCCGGTGCTGCTGGTGGTGGTGGTGCTGGTGATGGTGCTGCTGATTCTGGTCTCGGAAGAATAGGGGAGGTGGGCAGTGGGTCCGGTTTAGGGTGGCAACAAAGGATGGTAAACCTTGTCCTGGTATCAACGAGTAATGGTCGTGCCGACCGTGCGAATAGAGAAGGAGACCTCTCACAGCGGAGCAAGGGTAGGGAGGCAACAGAAAGGAAAAATATTTGGCTTTCTGTGGCACGGGAGGGCACATTTGGGGGAGGTGGATCTGCTACAAACAGCCACGGGAAAGAGAGGGTGGTACGTGCATCATCAGAAAACCGAAGGTTGAGAGACAGCAGAGGAGTAGCAGAGGCAGGTACAAGTGGGGCAGGCTTAAGTGAGGCAGCGCACTCTGATGGAAGAAGCCATGAGAGGGAGAGGGCCCAGCAGGTGTTGGCAGAGAGCCAAACTGCGAGACGAGTAGAGAGTAGCGGAGGAGGGGAGCTCAAGGACGGCAGGATATCGAGAAGTGGTAAAAGCAGTGGACGGAGCGAGGAGCAGCAGAGTGAGATGGGCACTAGCTGTGAATCTGGGAGGGAGAGAGGGAGTGGAGAAGATGGAGGAAGCAGAGGGGAAGGGGGGGGTGGAGAGGCGAGAGGGCGTGGAGGAGAGAGGGGGAGCGGCAAGAAGAGGGGGAGTGAAGGGGATAAGGGAAGCAGCGGGGAGAAGGAGAGTGGAAACAGTGGAGGAGGGGCGAGAGGTGCAGCTGCAGCTCGGAAGCACAGGAGGTGTTGGTCGCCTGACATTCATCAGCGGTTCGTCAAAGCGCTGGAGTCGCTGGGTGGATGTCATGGTGCGTGCATGTGTGCATGTGCGCTAATGAGCATGAATCTCTGGACATGTTTCCATTCCATGTGCCTTTCCATCCTCTCCTTTCCATTCTTCTCTCAATCTCTCGATCCCATCCACGCTCCACTCGCTTCCTCCCTCACGGCAGTGGCCACACCGAAGCAGATCAACGCGCTGATGAAGGTGGACGGGCTCACCAACGATGAGATCAAGAGCCACCTGCAGGTGAGGATGGTCGCAGGTGAATGGTGATGTGGTAAACATGTGTTGCGGTTTGAGGATTACACATAAGTGAGTGAAGGCAGATCGCCTCACTAACGCTGAGATCAAGAAATGTCAACAGCAACCCACTTCGTTGATTACCCTCGTTTTTATTCACTCTCAACTCATCATCCTTTCACACTTGTATCCTCTTCTGCTCCTCCTATTGCAGAAATACCGACTGCAGTCCCGTCGCCCCACCTCAGAGCCCCCCTGGCCCTCCACCCCCCACTGTGCCTCCCCCTCGGTCTGCTCCTCACCCTTCTCTTCCGCTGCTGCTAACACCCTCCCCCTTAATTCCCTTCCCCCATCCACCTCTTCCTCTCACTACGTCAGCCACGCCCAACCTCTGAATCTAGCACCACCAAATGCACCCCCAGCTTCGGCAGCAGTTTCGGCATCCGCAGCTGCTGCTGGACCCTCAGCACAGCTGCTTGTGCTGGGCGGCATTCTAGTTCCTTCTATGCAATCAGGAGCTGCACGGGTGGCAGCGTTTCCAGCAGATGGAATCTCCGTGCAGGGAATATCCTCGATCCTAGCATCCTCGTCTGGAGTACCTGAACTCGGCAATGCTGGGCTGCAACAACCCAACACGCAGCATGGGATAGTGCTGCAGACACAGCAATACCAAGCACAGCAGATCCATCAGCAACATGTACAGCAGGAGCAGCACCAACACCACCAGCAGCAGCACCAACATCAGCGGCAGCAGCAGCAGCAGCAGCAGCAGCAGCAACAGCAGCCAGTGCTGCAGTGGCCAGGGAACCAGCAAGTAGTGCTGGTTCCTTTTCAACAGCACCAGCAGCAGTTCAGCCAGACACATACCCAGCAGCAACAGGCGCTACCGCAAATGCCACCGCCGCCGCTGCAGCAGCAGCAGCAAATGCCAATACACTCACACCCATACCTTCCGTTGCCTTACTTGGAGAATCCACAGCTTAAGCAGGTGAGCCAGCAGCCACAGCTGCAACAGCAATATGGGACCACAGAACTGACAAACAGGCAGCTAAATCCAAACCAGTGCGCCTTGCCAACCCACAGGGGCAAAGACACGTCAGTCTGCCATAAGCGCATGCAAAATCTCAAGGGGTATAGAACCCTGTTACGAGTGCAATTGAGTGAGCGAACGAGGATTGCACTATCGAAGCAAGAATACAATGAGCGAAGGAATGAGCGAACAATATATAGCGAAGCCTAGCGTGGTAACAGTAATGCGCGAGAATGTGGTGCGAGACGGGCTTGGCGCCGAGGTTGGGAATTGTCAAGGCGGAGGACCAGAGCGCGGGTTATCAACCGAACCGTGAGGTTGGGTTGCAATGTGAACATTGGCGGGAACAATGGTCGAGGCAGGTGTCGCGAGTGGTAACATTTTACTGTAGGCAGGGCCTACGTTATCAGAAATTTCTTGTCTGTTTTATCAGGGCCTAGACAAGCCCTTTCCACTCATCTGATTTTTTAGACAAGGTTCCTATATTTATCTGATTTTTTACACAACCTTATACGTTTCGTCTGAGACTGCAGACATCGCGTACTTTCTCGTCTGATACCGACAAATTACCCCACCTGGCCAGTTGCCCACCTGGCTAGTTGCCCACATGCCTTGTTGCCCAATGTTCCCGACGAGACTTGCCACTCGCCGCGTTACCGTGCTGCCACCGCTAGGGTGTACGTTGCCTCTGGTCGGTGCGCCAGACTCACCCCGCTGGCACGAATCTTGCCAACTGGTTCGGCATATTCGTGCCAGCGCATGGCAGACAGCTGCATTTGCAACACCGACTGCCCTGAGTGCGCGTCGAGTCAGCAGGGGTGGATGGCATGGCAGCTTCCAGCGGAGAGGGAGACGTTCATGCATCGCGCCTCGTCCCAACGATACCCCCCCCGCACTCCCCGCATGATCAGGGGTCGGTCCTTCATTTTACCCTCGTTGGCGAGAGCGAGGCAGTGTGTTGTAGTTGCCACAATGGCCTCTGACTCTCGCACGGAGGCCCCTCCAGCTTCCACTCTGCATGCTTCTCCGCCACCTTCCAGTGCGTTGCCACGCCCACGCACTGGCCTTGATTTTCTTACCGGGGGGTGTTTCACCACAACTCCCGTCTCAGCAGCTCCTGTTGCTCCTTCGGCCGGTGAGAATGAGAGGCCAGCATCTCCCGAGCAGCCTTACCCGTTCGCGGAAATGGATGCCGAGCCGCTAATTCCTTTTTCCCCAGTTCGATCACCGAGCTCAACAAGCCTTCCTGAGGGTTCGTCATCTGGTCAACCTCACGCATCTGCCTCTCCGACAAAAAACAACCCTTTCAAATCCCGCTCGCCGTTCCTTCCGCCGCGGTTTCCGGGCAAAACTAAGTATGTTCAACATAAGCTTTCTTTCGCGAAGTGCCCAAGCCCTCCCTCTGCAGGAAATCCCGCTTCTAAGTACGATGGAGGGGAGAGCCGTGCTGAAAAGAACCCCGGTCCCGCGATTCTGACGCTGGAGGAGATGCAGCTAAAAGCCAAGCAGCAGTGGCAACGCCACTTCCCTTGGCTTATCATCGGCGACACCTCCGAAGGTCGTCCTTGCATGAGGTGCAAGATCTGCACGGTGTACGCAGATCCAGAGTCGCAGTACGGCGCTCGGGGCGAGGGAGGCATCAACATACAGAAGCAAACGATGAGGAAACACCAGTGGAGCATCCGGCACCGGGCAGCGAAGGCGCGATTGGAGCAGCGTGAAGGCCCGCAGACGAAGCAGGCTTCGATCTCCAACTTTGGAGATAAGAGTGCGGAAGCGCGGCGGTTGATCAAGTTGTTTCTGACTGTGCGCTTCATTTGCAAATCTGACACCCCCATCGCATTGTTTATGACACTCGTGCAGTTCATGGCGGAGATGGGAATGCCCGATATGCCCGAGAAGGACCAAGGGACTTACTGTAGACCGTAAGTGTTGAATCGCATCCTTCTGGTATTTTATCACCAGCCATTTTACTAATTATTGCCTAATGTTCGACGCAGGTACGGCTTCAAGCAGCTGGTCGAGACTCTGGTGTGCTACTTGAAGGCGAAGCAGATGCAGCACATCGTCGCCAGTCCGTTCATTGGCCTTCAGCTCGACGAAAGCACCGACAGAAGGCGTGGCAAACACATGATTGTGTATGCCACGTTTCTCCGCGGAACGGCGGTGACGACCGAGTTCTTCGCCAACCTATCTGTCGAGAAGTGCGACGCAGCATCGCTGGAGGCCGTCCTCCTGACACACCTTGCAGCTTGCGGCCTTGAGCTGACGAAGATCAGCGGCATGACGACGGACGGCGCAAGTGTCATGACGGGATGTGACACAGGCCTAGTGGCGAGATTTCGGTCACGTGTTCCGCACATCGTACCATGCCATTGCGTTGCCCACAGGTTGTGTACCGTGAGTTTTGTTTGTTGTTTCTGTTATATTTACTTGCATATAACTTACCAATCTATTACATGTTATGCCTGCAGGGAAGCACTGGCTGCTAAGGATGCTGCTCTGGAATTTCCAGAGTTCAATGTCGTTGATAAGGTCGTCCGGGCCTTCGCGGACATTCTCGGCCGCAGCATCGTGCAACATGCGCGATTCAAGAAGCTACAGGAGGTGATCACGCGCACCAACCTGGAGATGCAAGGCATCAAGGACGTACGGTGGCTCTCACGCGGGAACGCCATCGAGCGGTTTGCTGACGTGCTGCCTGCTGCAGTCGTCCTACTGCATGAGTACGACAAGGCTTCTTACACCCTTGTAACAAGTCTGAAGTTACAGTTTTTATTGTTCTTCCTGGTTGATGTGCTTCAGGAGTTGAACAGCCTCAATCTCAAGTTTCAGCGACGGCAGGTAAGGGCTTGATGTCATAGATTACACTTGGTTTCTCTTCCCGAGACTAATTTGCGTCTGTTTTATATGTGCAGCTCGATGTGACGCAGGTTCTTCCGATGGTGCAGCACACCACACTGGCCCTGACCAGTCGCTACGTGGAGTATGGCTCCACCTTCGGCGACAACAGTGGTCGTCTCGCGACATTCCTGAAAGCGCACGGGAGCCTTGAGCATCGTGAGGTGCAGGTCGAAAGCATTGACAGTGAGGGAACACCCGTGACGCACACCTACGTTCTGCACGAGGACTACATCGCGAAGGAGAAATTTGGGGGGGATTTGGCATTGTGCGAGGAGGCGGCATCGGCGTTCGCGGCGAGGACGGTGTTTTTCATCGACGACCGCATGAAGAGCCTGAAGTCGCTGGAAGGGAGCCGTCTCTTTCGGCAAGGACGGTACCCTCGCTCGCGCTCAAAGAGAGCGCGCCGATTTCCCGTGTGGCTCGAGTCTCTGCGCAACCTGTTCAAGAAGAAACCGCAACATCCAGACACCCTTCCTGGTAAGCGCTATATTTTATATCACCATGTGACCCATGTCTTGGATGATTTTTGCTGTGGTGTCATTTGTATATACTCATATATACAATGTGCTGTCGATGTTACATCCCCCCACCCCTCGCTATCAGATGTCGATTGGGGCAAAGCTGCCAAGGAGCTCACTAGCTTCACCACAATTCTCTCCACTCATCACGAAGACCTCTCCTTCCACGACAGCCTCTCGCAGATGCTCTCAACGCCGGATTGGGAGGCGGCCTTTCCGAACCTCGGTCGCCTGTGGATAGCTGTTGCCGTGCTCCCACTCAGCACTGTTGAGTGTGAGCGCGGTTTCAGCCGTCAGAACATTATTAAAAGCTGGGTGCGCAGCAGCTTGTGCGACATGACACTCGGGGACCTGATGACTGTCTCTCTTCTGAATTACGAGCTGAACACAGAGGAGCTGGTGGAGAGGTGGCATGGCAGTAAGAAGAGGCGGCCGGCACGTGAGGTGGTCATGGCTCAAGGAGCACGTCCGGTGAAGAGACGGCGGTCCCATCACCAGAAGAAACGTGCGGTAGCAACAGCAGCAGCGGAAGAGGCAAACCGCACACAGAAAGAGGCGAAGGTGGCTGCCACAAGGGAGAG